GTGTGTGTGTGTGTGTGTGTGTAGGGGTAGAATGGGTGGGGAGAGGTTCTAATTCAGGTTTGTGAGGTCTTTCGGGTGAAGTGTAAGCAAGGGATTCCTCCAGTAGCAGAACTGGCTATACTCTGGATTGACCAGCTCCACGTTGGGCCCCACTTTTACAGGTGGAAAGATGAGCTGCACGGTCTCCTGGAGCCGCTCATACCTAAGGGAGGGAAAAGAGAATGAGAAGTGAGAACTGGCGCCAAATCTAGGCCCTGCTGCCAGGACCTGGCTCAAGTCAAGGGACCTGCTCTCTGGCTTCACCAAATCTTTTCTCAGCTGGAACAGGACAGTGACAGGATCTGTGATTTCATTGGAAGATGGATCTCACGAGGGAGGAAACATCCTCTGCCAATGCAGGTTGGCACCTCTTCTGTCATTTATAATCTGAGAGGTGCCCCAAGCACCGAGGGGACAGAGGACTTGCCTAGGACTGTCTAGCCAGCATTGGTGAGAGTTTGGACTTGCACCCCATCTTCTTGGCTTTGATGCCCACTCTCTATCCACTATACTACAATGGCTTCTCAACTGAGTTGGCATTTGTAGAGTGAGTTACAGTTTGTAGCGTACTCTACACTCATTACCTTGGATATTTCGACCAAGCAACCCATGTTGTTGATTCCAGGCCTCTCAGACAGTGGGCATCTCTATTTACTGTGAAAACCCAGACTTCGGAGACAGGGCAGCATGGAGGTGGTAGAGATGAGAAGCCCTGGGAGTCTGACTCTAGCCCGAACCAATTTATTTTTTTTCTTTTTTTTAACCTATTCTATCTTATTACAAGTGTTCTTATGTGAGAACATGAGATCAAAGAAGAGATCAAAGGCAACACCATAATAATAGCTAACATTTATATAGTGCCTCCTATGTGCCAGGCACTGTGCCAAGCACTTTACACATTATTTTCTCATTTGATCCTCACAACAACCTTGCAAGGTAGGTGCTATTATTATCCCCATTTTACAAGTGAGGCGAGAAGAGGTTAAATGACTTGCCCAGCATCACACAGCTAGTAAGTGTCTGAGGCTGGATTTGAATTCAGGTCTTCTTGACTCCAGGCCCAGTGCTCTTTTCCTGGTGCCATCTAGCTGCCACAGTACAGCGTAAAGAACGCTAGCTCTGGAGTCAGAGGAGCTGGGTTCAAATTCCAGCCTTAATACTTGCTCCTTGTGTGACCTCAAGCAAGTTCTTTAAGGTCCATGTGCCTCAGTTTCTCCATCCATTAAATGAGGGGGATGGACTAGGTAGGTGACCTCTGATTTGAAAGTGACACTTACGTGGTCTTGTGGTTCTTGATAAGTTCCTGAATGAGCTCTCCTAAGGGGTTGACAGTGAAGATGCGGGATTTGGGTATCCCTACATGAAGATAGGCATAGACATCCTGGAGAAGAACAGGGAGAAATTGGAGAGGAGGGAAGGAGGAGCCTGGCCTGGCCCGGCCCAGCCCACCCTAGCTCAGAAGGTGGAGAGAAGACACACTCACAGAGGCACGGTTCCCAAAGCCAGCAAAGAAGGGATCTCCATGGGGCAGGAATAGGTGATGGATGTCAGTCAGGCATGAGATCTTGAACACCTCGGGCTTCTTTTCAATCACCTCCCTGGGGAGACCAATGAGCAGAGATAGTAATAGTAGCTGATCCAGACTGTGACATAGGTCATTATCCCCATTTTACAGAAGAGGAAAATGAGGATCAGACTTCAAAAGCTAACAACTAACAAATGTAAGAGGTGAGATTTGAATCCAGGCATCTCCTAACTCTAAGTTCAGTGCTGCATAGGGGACCAAGGTCTTTAGCCCTCTCCCAGGGAGCTGAGAGAAAGGACCAAGAGGTGGACATGGTGCAGTGGGAGGAGCTTGTGATGTGGATCCAGGAGACCCAGGTTCAAATTCTAGCTAGTTGTATGACGATGGGCACAATGCCTCTCTTGGACAGTTTCCTTATCTATAAAACTGGGATAATATTTATACTACCACAACAATAGCAAAAGCGCTTTATAAACCTTAAGGTTGAATGGTAGTAATGATGGTGTTGATTGAAATTGGAGAATGGAAAGGGGGCAAACAACTGAAAGCTCTTTGGATCCTGTTTCAGACAGTGAGAAACTTCCACATATAGTCCATCGCCCCCAGAAGTCACATCCTTATAGAAGCCTTGACTTCACCCTATAGGCATCAGGAATCTTCTAGTGGGGTACAACTTCCTCAACCAACAGGGCCAAGCTCCAAAGTGCCCAGGATAAGGAGTTAGAGACCACCCAATGTCATTTCGAGCTGTTCCATACATAGCACAATGCCAGGCATGTTGTAAGCACTTAATAAATGCTTATTGATTGGTTGATTCCAGGTGCATAATAAACTAATGATTTTGGATAGGGAGAAGGGTTACATTTTACCTGTGAAGGGCAGAGAAGAGGCTGCTGGGGGTCAAGAGGAGGGGGCCTTTGGGGAGAACACAGCCCTTCTCATTCACCCACCGCAAGTAGCGCTTAGTGAGGTCCGCCATGCCAATGGATCGGGCTGAGCAATAAAGGAATTTGTACCCGTTTCTGGAGAGAGACCACAGAACCCATTACAGATCCTCCCCTGATGACCACCAAAATTGGCTTTCCCAGTTAATCCTGCCAAGAGAGCAGACACCACTCAACGGGGGAAATCTGCCCTGAGACAATGGCAGGCACCGTTGCCCAGAGTTGTGCTCCTCTTTCCTGCTCTCTAGAGATACTATGAGAGCAGGAGATGCTCTGGGCAGGACTTCTCAGCATCTGGGATGCTGCCTTCAACATCACCAATGGTACACTCCAGGGAAGAGGCTCAGCTCCAGAGGAAAAGGTCAGAAAGGCCTTACAGTGCTCTGAACCTTTCTGACCCACTCTCCCCAAGGAACAGGCAAAGATGTAGGCCAATGTCAGCCTGCCACACCTGCCCCTTCTCTTCACCTTGAAAGCAGGGATTGTATTGTTTTTCTGTTTGTATCCCTGGCACTTCAAACAGTGCTTTGCACATAGTGAGTGCTTCATAAATGCTTTTTTTCATTCCTTCACTCATATTCATTCTTTCCTTCATTCATTCACACCCAGATGGGCCAGAACATAAGCCAATGAAGAGAAAAAGCAAAACAAAGCTGTGATCCAGGTCACAGAATAGTTAGCGGGATCTACAGCTATTTCACCTGAAGAAGGATGGCTGAGGAGGCACTGAAGCAAAGTCCTGAGTGCTGTGAAGGACCCAGCATGAGCGAGAGGAGCAATTGTCCTCTGAACTCTTGATGATTAGGCTAAGAATAAATGTCATCCTACTGTAGCAGGAGGGACTGAAGAAACTTAGGGATAATAGAAACCCACATAGATGATAGAAACATGCATTTCCTAAGAATGCGTCTCCGGGTTTTAAAGAAAACCTGCAAGGGTTTCAGAAAAGAGGGAGAGATTAGACCTTGAGATCTCTTCTAACCCTCAATTCATAGATTTTTTCTCTCCCTTCTTTGATGGTGTTGGAAGGGCTGAATTAAAATGGTTGTTATGGGCTTGAGAGGCTTCCCAAGGGGCCTGGGTGAACCCATGGCCTGTTCCTTTCACTGGCCACAAGGAGTAAAGGGCATGTTAGAGATGCTGGGTACGCTGTCCCAGAAACTCCCTGTCACCCTGCCAAGATCAAGTTGTCCCTCTCTGAAGGTAAGCCACCATGCCGCCCTAGCTTCTTCTCAGCCCTTGAGGTCAGAACTGAGCTACTAAGAAAAAATGCCAGGGAAAGTCTCAGCCCCCGTTGAATTGTGCCCTGCTTTTCTCTCAAGTGGCAGACACTGCCATCCTGTGGTAAATCTGGTCTGCTGCCTACCTCCCTCTCCTCCATCCCTACCCACCTTTCCATGATACGCAGTCATTCTCCTAGTCAACCCTGCAGGGACAGCAGATGAAATGAGGTCTGGGGCCCTGAACAGAAAGTACGCCTGGAGTCAAAGGCATTGCCACCAGGAGCAACGCCCTCTGTTCCTTCACATACTCCAGAGACACTGTTAAGAGTTGGAGATGCAGAATTCAACATCACTGAAGGCACAATCCATGAGGTGCTGGTGTCATTTCAGCTGAAGGCTTTGGGGACACCCCCTCCTCTCTCACTAAGCCTTTCCAGTTAAGGAATTGCTAAAGATCAATGCCTGGGATGGAGCCAAGAAACCCTGTTGGCCAGCCTAGTGGGCATTCATTCCTAGGCAGGGAAGAAAAGCAGACCTGAGCCTCTTCCCTCCTCAAGCAGGAATCTGCCACAAGACAGCCCCAGCCTTCCAGAAATACTCACAGGTGAATTTTGTGGTAAAGCTTAATGATGCCTTGGTGAGTCCAGTCTTTCCCTAGCTGGGGCAAAATGTGACCCAAAGCATCGGACCTGGGAGAAAGAGAAGAAATCAGGTTTATGGAGAGAGGTTGGGCCCAGTGCCGGGACTTCAGGACAATAGTCAAATGATTAGGTTGATATAGCACTTTCTTCACAACAACCTTATGAGGTAGGTAGGTACAAGTGTCCCATTTTACAGATGAGTTAACTAAGGCTCGCAGAAGAGTGACTTGCTCATGATCACGCAGCCAGCAGGTGTCAGAGATGGGATTCAGCCCTAGGTTTCTTCTGACTCCAAGTGCAATGGTCTTTCCACTACCCAGGGCTGTCTCTTTTTGAACAGGCTTCCAAAAACTCAATAGTGATCATCGGATAGGAGCCCAGCTCCCAGAACAGTACGATTATGAGCGAACAAAGGAATGAAAAAGTATTTCGTGAACACTCACTATGTGCTAAGCACTGGGTTAAGTGCTAGTGATACAAATGCAAAAAATGAGGGAGACAAGAGCAAATCCAATCCTTTAGATCAGGGGTCCACAAATTGTGGCCTGAAGGCCAGATCTAGTCTGCTGTCTTACCACCCAGAGGAGCCAAGAATGGATTTTTTACATTTTAAAGTACAATCACACTTCATTTAAAAATAAAAATAAAAACATAGCTTGTGGGCCAGAGAGAGGCAGGCAGCTGGCCACAGTGTGCTAACCCATGCTTTGGATCATCCTGTTCACTGAGCAAAGGGAGCTTGCTGTAGCAGATGGGCTGCTGGGCTTGGAGTTAGGAAGAACCTAACCTCTCCTTCCATCTCAGACACTTAATAGCTGGGTGACCATGGTAAGTCACTTAAACTCTCTGATCCTCAACTTCCTTAGCGGTAAAACGGGGGTAATAATAGCAGATCATATATGTCAAACACTTTGCTAACGTTAAGTTCATAATGTAAATGTGAGTTATTATAATCATTATCATCATCCATCTTTGCTTCAAGGAGCTCTAGTCAGCTATGTAAGAGGAAGGTGGTGTCACAGTCATTTCATTTTTTAAGCATGACAGTACCCAGTCACCTTGACCTGCTCCCCCAGGCCCCTTTCACTCTATCCTTAACCCTTCAAGCAGGATTTGGAAAGCGTTTAACTATTTGGAAGCACAGTCTCCCTTGAAACCCACCCCTCCCACCTCCCATACCTCCCCCCTTTCCTACTTTTCTTGCTATGTTTCTTACTTGGTGATGGTCCCATCGATGTCTGAGATCACTACCTTGTCGTACCAGTTCCACAGGTAGATGTTGGCATGGCAACGGCAGGTACCTTGGTACTGAGTGGTCACACTAAACACCACATCATTGGCTCCCTCCCTCAGGTTTAAATCTCGCTGGACAGTCCAAGGGAACCAGGGTAGAGTCAAAGGCAGCTCCAGAAAGACCCAATCCCTCTCCAGTTGGAGAGATTTAGCCTAACTGGCCTCCTGCCTCCCTCTACCAGCCTCTGGACTACTGTAATGAGTTCTCTTCCTCTCTTCTTTCTTTAAAAAATTGTTTTAAATTGAGGCTCTTTCAAGATCATCATTGTTACTTCCTAATGACTGTTCACCCCCAAAGAGAACCCTCCTGTGTGACAAAGTACAGTTAAGCAAAATAAATCAATATATTGACTACGTCTGCCTCAATCTCCACCCAAAGTCCACCATGTCTCTGATGAGAAGCATACTCCTCCTTTTCCCCTCCCCTCAAAGGCCCTCTTCCCCAACCCAGAGCCTGGCAAAGGTCAGACACAGAGATAAAGAGATGCAGACCCAGCCATCTGGGAGCAACCACCCACTCTATGCAATAGATCTCTACATGTTCTCTCTAGTCCCTCCTTACTCCTATGCCAACACGAATAGAATTTACATAACAAATGTCCGTGTATGAGTAAGCGTTCAGGGCCACTTCATATCATATGTATCATTGGGTGATTGGAGATCTTTCCATTAGAATGGGATACATTTTGATGCAGGCTGCAGGAAGCTTCTCCAAGCAGTGGAATACTCTGCATAGCCTTGTCTCCAGGGGAAGGTGAGAAGAGAATCCAGGGATAGAGGCTATAGTTATGAAACCCAATACATAACCAGCCCAGCTTGGCCACAGAGCTATATTCTTTATAAGGCAGACCCAAGGAGATATCATACAAAGAGTCATCCTAAATGCTCATCCCATAAGGCAGCATTACAGCTTAGCACAGAAGACAGGGCTTCGTGAGGTCCTAGAGTATTTTTTAAGGCTACCCACCTCTTCCTAGACCTCTTTTCCCCAAATTCCCTCTCTCCCATTCCTGAAACATGGAAACATGGACACTTTCCTGGACCCAGCCAAAGGCAAGAATGGCCCAACCCTCCAAACCTCGAACTTACAATCTGTTCAGAGGAGAGACGAAGGGACTTCTTGAAGGCATGGATATGACTTTGAGGTGGGGGAGAAGGGGCACCCAAGATCACCAGGGAGTCATCTTCAACAGATGAAATATCCATCTTCTGCCTGCAGGGAATCCAGGCCTGTAAGGTCCCTCTTCCTCCCAAGGTTTACCAATAGGAAGACCCACTTCCACCCATTAAATGACAATCCCACGGACAGCAAGTTCATCAAGTAACCTGGGGAAATGCAGTTGATCAGGCTCTCATCATCAATCCTCCCCTTTCCTCTCCCACCTGGTTTCAGCTCTACCTCTTCCAGGCACAGCTCATCACCAAAAAACTCCTCATCATAGAGATTGCTTCTACTTTGGTACCCACACTTCATAAGTACCCACAGTTTCTTCTGCCCCTCCTATTGGAGGGCTGAACAAAAAACTCCTCTCAAAGCCTTCCTTTAAAGAGAACCCAGAAGCCCAGCCAACTATTTGTGACTCTATCCCCTGCTGATTGTTTGGTTTTTAACTCCACAACCACCATCATGCCCTCCACACATGGGTAACCTTTCCACCCCCCACCTCAGCTTTTCAGCTTCCTTTTGTGCGATGTCTTACTCCACTAGACTGGAAGGTCCTTGAGGGCAGGGACCATCTTTTTCTTATTTGTATCCCTATCACCTAGTACCATGCCTGGCACACAGTAACCACTTCATGACTAAATGTGTAATGTATTGTATTGTATTAATCTGCATCAGATTTGTAGTCAGAGGACCTGGATTCAACTCCTGACTCTGCAACCCACTGCCTGAGCGACCTTAGCTGCTCTTTTATAGAACAAAGCAGTTAGATTAGATGATCTCTAAGATGCTTTTTGGAGACTGGAGATATAAATTGGGGAACTCCCCATGAAGAAACTCTCTCTACCAATGTAAATCTGTAACAAAGTCTTAGAGAAGGGTCTCTTAACCTGGGATCTGTGAATCTGATTTAAAAAAAAAAACATTTTGATAACTGTTTCAATGTAATTGCTTGCCTTTGTAATCCTGTTTATTTTATTTTATGCATTTAAAAACTATTCTGAGAGGAGTTCTCTAGGTTTCTCTAGACTGCTAAAGGGGGTCCATAACACAAAAACAGGTTAAAAAGCCCTGACTTACGAGTGCTGCCTATGGTATTGAGAAGTGAAGGGATTTGCCCAGATGTGGTAGAGGCCAGGATATGTTGGAGATTAGAGTTAAATCCAGCTCTTTCTGACTTCAAGGTCAGTTCTCTATCCACTTTTCAAGAAGACTATTATACTTAGAACCAGGGATGTATTGGTAAATGGTTAACAAATAGCTATTGGGCAGGGGTAGGAGGGGGTGGGGGGAGGAGATGAGTGTACCTATAAACACACAAGTTTAATTTGCACTACTAACATTTTCTCCATCACTTTGAGTCTACACAATCAACCAAACAATAAATCAAACCTTGATTTATAGCACTTGCTGGTTACAGAGATGTGAATGTGTGCACTGAGAATTTAACAATCAGATGCCAGGATGAACTGGCTCTAGTACACCTCTACAATTACTCCTCTGAGGCAACCCACTGCATTTTGGTGAGCTTTAACTTTCAGGAAATTTTCCATTTGTGGTTGTTGTTGAGTCATTTTTCAGTTGTGTCTGACTTTTTGTGAACCAATTTGGGGTTTTCTTGGCAAAGATACTGGACTGGGTTGCCATTTCCTTCTCCAGCTCATTTTCACAGATGAGGAAACGGAGGAAAACAGGGTTACATGACTTGCCCAGGGTCACACAGCTAGTAAATATCTGAGGCTGTATTTGAACTCAAAAAGATGAGTCTTCCTGACTTCAGGCTGGTACTCCATCCATTATGCCACCTAGCTGCCTATCAAACCTAAATTTGCTTCTTTGCAGCTTCTACCTATGGCTCTTGGTTATGGAGGACAATGTTCTTCTGGATATACCATGAAGCCTCTGTCCTCATTGCCCCAAAAAATCCCTAGTGTACCCTTCCTTCTTAATATATATTGGGACCAACCCTAACTCGGGAAGTTCTTCCTAGTATGTGACCTAAGTCTCACCTGCTTCCATTTCTTTGGTGTAAATGGAAAATAGATGATTATACCTTTTTATCCAATAGTGTGTGTTCTAAGTCCCCTCAAAGCACATAGAAGAGACTATGACTTGAGGACTTATCTGGGCATGATTGAAGGTACTCGGGCTTTGAGAAAGAGTCTAGCTTCACTGGGCCTGGGGGGAGGTTCTATCCCACAAGGCGATTCTTGCCAGGTATTGCTTTTCCTAGAGGGTGCAAGCTTTGAAGTACCAACACTGTAGGGTTGACCCAGTGTGACAGAAAAAGCTTTAAGCTGAGATTCAAAGGTTCTGGTCCTATATTTGTCTCTTCCCTACTCTGTGAGGAAGCTAATCACTTCCTCAGTGAAAACATTCATCCCTGGCCACCTGGTGTCCTGCAGGTGACACCAGGTAAGGATTTCACTTGGTGAAGTCTCTGTGAAGATTTCATGAGATAGTATGAATACCTTGGAGGGAGAAAAAAGTAGTAAAATGGATGAAACACTGGACTTGAAATCCTGGATTTGAATCTTGCCTCTGACTGTGATTAGCTATCGGATGGTGAATAACCAACTTAATCTGTTGGGGTGCCCACAGACAATCTTTAAGACTTTAACGCCCTTCCTGGGGGCCTGACCAAGATAACTTACTCCTGCTGGGGGGAATTCTTCTTTGAAGTAGATGCCACCTCCTGGACTTCACACTGCAGGGGAAAAGTTTTCCCATAAGCCCCTTTGTTAAAAGGAAAGATCCTGTCCCTGAGTCCAATCCTACCTCCCCTAGGTCTGGGCCCTTCTAAAAGGGCAAACGGAGACCAGACCTTCCATTCCAAGGGCCTTCTAAGAAGTGATCACCTACCTCCTTGGTTGTTGCGTCCTTTAGCCCCCAGGAGAACCACCAGCGGCCACTCTTCTTGGGCATTTTCTCCTTCACCAGCTTGTCAATAGTGCTCTGAATGCCAGACAAGATCAGGAAGGACACAGTGGACAGGGTGTCCGCCAAAGGAGCCTCAAAGACAGGCCTCTTCGGGGAATAATCCCCTCAAACAAATGGCATGTATCTCATCTCCATTGGAGACCAACAATGAAAACCCTTTCTGGCCAAGTTCTCTGAAGCACCTCTCAGAGCTCTCAGGAGAGATTATCTTGTCAGGGATGTTTGGGACTTACTCCAGAAGGCACTGCTTACATTTCTCATGACTCAAAGCTTGAGTGCTGGCATTGCCTCTCTAACTCAAGGAATTGATTAACCACAGCATTTGTCGATCTAGGCCTCATGGTGGGTCAAAGAAGCATCAGCAACAGAATAGAAATGATATGGTAAATGCTTGCTGAATAAATGGATGGAAGAAGGAGACTCAGGGGACCTTCCTCCCACCCAACAGGCCAGAACACCTCACAATAACAAGAGAGATGGCACTTTAGGGGAGATGGCAGGACTTTCGAGAATAAGGGACTTCCTATACAAAGTCACCAAGTGTCTGAGAGAAGGGTTAACAGGAATTGCTGCCCTTCTTTCTGACCCATCCCCCATCCAAACTTCCCCAAGAAAACTATGGATGACTTCCAAGGCCACTGTCCTCAGTCCCCAGGATAAGGCCATCTGGACCAATGTCTCTGTGAGCAGTTTCCTAGGAAGCACAGAAGGAGAAGGGATAGGCAGACAAGTCAGGAAGGGACTTGAATTGGTTTGAAGGACTTGGAAATTCCCTGTTCTGGGATTCAGAATCAGCCCCAATTTGGAGCTTTATCCCTTCTTGGCTAATCCCCAGGGAGCCTACAGTTTTATAACAGAGTTTCCCACCAGTTCCCCTTCTCCTTGCTTTCCCCCCTCCCCAAGCTCTCTAGTGCATCATCCAAATCCTCCCTATCACCAGAACAGGAAAGATAGATGGAGAGGGAGTTCTGCTCCATTACCTTGGGCAAACTCTTCCGAAAGGCCTGAAGGGACAGGATCATAGGTGCAGCTACAGCCCAGTTGTAGTGCCTAGAAAGAGGGAGCGTGGAGGAAAAGTAACTTCTCAGGAAGAATGGCTAAAAAGGCAAAGCCTGACTATTTGAGGCTGAAGGCCCCAAATGAGACTCAAGGCTGGAGCTTCCCATCCAGAAAAGGACCCAGAAAAGGTTTAACATATAACAATAATAACCCCTCTCTCAAAGCCCAACCAAATGTCCATGCTGTGTGTGTGTTGTGTGAACAACACACAGAAACTTTGTTTCTTGAGACCATTAGCTGTGAAGGTCTGGCAGGAGCCCTAAAATGCTGGTGAGCTGGGCTCTGATAAGACCTCTAGCAGCATAGGAATCCTAGGCAGTGTGATGGAACTCCTCCCAAGAGTCAAAGAAATAGATGGGGCAATAGAGAATTACTGGTTGTTCTTCTCGAAACCATCATAACACAGAGAAGAGTGCAAGTGACTCTCAATGTTTTGGTATCACAAGGAGGCAAGATACATCAGAACAAACCAGAAATACCAATACTTACCTGATGGAAATGCTTCAGGACAATTGATGCTAAACGCTAAAATAGGTAATCCGTGAGTACACATAAAATGAACTGAAAGTATAAACACTTTATGCCCCAGAATCATCTTCTAACAAAATTGGAAGCAGATCTCACCAGATATGGGCAAGGGTCTCATACTTTTTGTCAATTATATTCTCAGTTCCAAGTCACATGACAATGTATAGTTGAATAGCATAGGACAATTAAAAAAAATTCATCCCTAAGCCTCCATCAGATGAAATAAGAAATGAAATCAAGGGGCTGCTAAAATCTGAAGAAGGAAAAGTTGAGGACCCTGGAGGTCATAGAAAATCCTCACTTTTTAATGCAAACTCCAGAGATCCTACTTCATAATGAGAAAGATGACAAAAACAGTACTGAAGTCTCCAAAGTCTCCAATTGAAAAGGAGATGGCCATACTTAAGACTGGAACGCTGGAAGGTTCTCTTTGAGCTTGATGGCATGAATACAACTGGTAGATCAATTATACCAAAACAGAGTAATAAAAAAGCCAGTTTCTGCTTTAACCATTATGAGCAAACATATTCCCCCACAGCATTTGACAGAAAAGTATAAAAACCATTTCAGAACCTGCAAACAGTGGTATATGCCGCAGCTGTTGCCATGGTAGGAAAGGTGGAGCTATAAAGAAATTCCTCCACCACCACCTCCCGCCCCAGGCCACCATAGTAGAAGTAACTTGAGAAAACTATTGAAGATCTGTGGAAAAGCATTGAAAGATCTAACTGGTATGGTCAGTAGGACACTTAAACATCATGTTGCACAGTTAAAGGTAACAAAAGGCAACATACAGAAGTGAACAAGAAAAAGAAAAGCATATCAGAAATTCTAGACTCCCTTAATCAGCAACTGAGGGCCAAAGGTAAAAGGTTAAGTGATATGAAGGAGTCAAAGCAGCACAAAGAACAAATTTAGTAGTTCAGTATCAACTAAAAACTACTCAAGAGGCTTAAGAAATAAAGAAATCATAGGTGAGAAAGAACATCTAAAGAAGGAGGATGTGAAAAAATTTTGGTCATCTCCATGGTTGCAAGATGGGGACTAAACAAAGCCCCATCATTCCTTCCAGATGTACACTGAGTCTGGTCTTGACACAAAGTCTCAATTAAGGAAATAAGGCTGGAAAAAATGAGAAGGCACATTAAAAAGAAATTATGGCTCCAAGGATGCACAAGACAGACCCAGAAGAAGAGAATAATTTCACAACATCTACAAGCAAATTCTCAAACAAAAATACCACTTTGCCACAAAGTCTAGAATTCCTGGAAGAAATGAAACAAAATGTTTTAAAATGACATTATAAATTAAACAAAAGCTCTAGGGGAAGGAATTGGAAGAAGAATAAATAGTTCAGTACAGTACCCAAAGAACATATTCCCTAGAAAATTAGAATAGATCAAACAGAAATCAATGAATCTATGACAACAAGAAACACTAGAACACAAACAAAAAGTCTTAAAAGAGAAAGGGAGAGAGAGAGAGAGAGAGAGAGAGAGAGAGAGAGAGAGAGAGAGAG